CAGATATCGACGAGGACGACTGCGTAGAAACAGATGTGCCCGGAAAGAAATATTTCTATTTACGATACAGTAACCGATGTGATATGACGTTGGTAATGCAGCCGATATCACATAACAGAGACGGGCTGCTGATAGAAACGGCTCAATGTTAAAACACGTTATCGCCACCGTAACAGTCATTGAAACATGCGTGGAAACGTACCATCTCAGGAAAGACAATTACTAAAATCCCTGGAGTTCCAGAGCCGCTTTTGGAAAGGTTGGACGCCAAGTCCTGGGAAAGATATCCGCTTAGCACGTTATTTATCCTTCCGCATATTTGGTTTCGTTAAAATACTGTACATATTACACAATATTTCGACAGGCAAGCAATGGCACCCAGTGATTGTGCTGAAGACGAAACCGCACATTACAGTATTTGCGGTGCTCAGGTGTTATGTGAGCACCTGTTGCTTGGTCGAAACGGTCGACAGAAAAACGAATGCTCGAATACGACACGAACTTACTACTTACCCTAACGTGGTCATGGTGACAATCGTGTACCAGAAAGCGGCCGGAATGCTGGTGAACGTCGTGTTGGGTGTCTTCTTTTCGCAAAAGTACATAATCGTCGCGAAAATGACGATCGCCATGGCCAACGAGAAGACCAAGAAGCTGAGCTCGCTGGCACAGCTTTTCAGAGTGTATCCGAGGATGCGTAATCCCTGTGAATGTCTGGAGAACTTGAAGATACGGAACACGCGGAAAACGCGCAATGTGACGAACGCGCCGCTGACCTCCTTGTTGTACTGGAAGCCGAGTCCGATGTAGTACGGCAGAATGGCGACCACGTCGATGATGCTCATCACCGAGCGCATGAAACGGTAACGGTTCGGCGCCGCGTACAACCTCAGGAAGTACTCGAACGTGAAGATGATGACGCAAGCCGTGTCGACCACAAACAGCTGCGTCTCGTACAGATCGCCGCAGGTGAACGTCTGCAGCTTGGAGCCCTTCGAGCCGACGATCGACTTGCACGACACCGTCTCGACGATGTTGCTTAGTACGGACACGGCTATGAAGAAACCGGTCACGTAATAGAAGACCAGCGCCGGCGTGCTGGAGTGCGGGTCCTCGAACGCCCTCCACATCTTTTCGCGGACGGTGCGCTGCGGAATGGCGTTCTGCGTTTCGCTCTCCGACTTCTCCTCCATCAGGCGCTCCTTGTTTTCGCGTTTCTTGTCCTTGTACTCCTCGTAGCAGCAATCACTGATCAGGTCTGCCATGATACCGAAAAACGTCAATTCCTCGTCATACGCCAACAGACACTCGTTCTTCGGAAAGTGCAGCTTGCCGGTACGGTAGAACGTCAGAATATGCCTGAAGATGTCAGGGTCACGATCGAAGAAATACTCCTTCGCTTCGTCATCATAGAAGAACTCTCGTTCCTGACTGCCCAGCAGCGTCTCAGGGTATTTTTCAAGGGTTGTCTTCCAGGTTTCAAAGCGCCTACCGCTTACATTGATACGCAGCTTCTCGTCCGGAATCTGCAGGTCAATCCGCTGGCTGAAATCCATAGTCGGCTTGGGCAGCGGCTGTCGACTGATCGGTACCCAGCCGATGGCCGCTGCGCGAGCGAACGGCAGCCACGCCGACATTGAAGACATTTTGTACTTAGTGCGGTATTAAAACTAAACAAATGAACAACGGTCAGAACTGCGGCATCATCGTCATGGTACAGTATAATATTTAGAATAAGTCATTTTTGCACAATAATGCGTAAGGATATTTGTGAAAGATAATTTCACATATCAGGTTACATGACTTAATGGCACACTCCCTTGCTGTCAAAACATTTTTGAGGTGGTTTGAATAGGCCATACCTATAAATTGCTTGAGTGAAGCATAGACGACTGTAGGTTTATTTAGGTTTGATTTCATTACTGCTCAGGCAGCATCTTTGCAATATTTATTTTGCGTGCAATAACACTGCACCGATGACAGTAAATTCGGGCTATCGGATAGGCCACACGTAGCGTTAGAGAAAAACAATCAGCAGTAACAAACCGAATAGAACATAAAACAGTGTTTATTGCTTTACAGCGCTAACATTATGGCCAATCGGATGATTAACCAGCACCGACGTTTCGGCCCATTTCTTACGGGTCTTGTTCAAGGTAGTGAGGTTGGTTGACAGGCTCAAAATGTACCAATCACTGCAAACAACAAAACGACTTCCGCAGTGAGTGAATCAACTACTTTACCTTGAAGAAGGCCCCGGTCTAGACGTCGATGCCGATCATCTGATGCATAGTATTGTTTGCATTGTGTACAAATAAACAATATCGTGTGCAATTTGCAGAATGACCATTAACTCATGAATAAAAAATTGAGGAAGGTGGGACAGAGTGGAACATGTAAAACAACAACACCGCAATTGCGCACTGAAAGAAATCAACAGTTACCGCGTTACAACTTCAGCATCTCCAAACTGAGAGCAAGATAGAGTCAAGGTCAACTAAGAACATGTTAGGCTGTGATTGAACGAACCGTAATGGTTATAATGAATGGCTAGACTGCAGGGTGTGCGGATCATTTCTGACGACACAAGTGACCATGCGAATGATATCATTCACTGTTGGATCAATATTAAGGTTAATCAGCTCTAACAGGTGGAAGTCAAACGCCATGGTTACAAACTTCAGGGATCGCCTTAGCGAGAGACGGTTCGCATC